AATTCAGCAATACTGATCAGTCTAATAAACTTAAGCCTACACCATCCTCCCTATTCTGGTATTTTAAAGAGTACTTAGTGTAAATATTAAGCAACCTAACTAATAGGGTTCCAACTCCCAGCAACAACAAAAAAAAAAATAGGGAACCACCCCTCACGCTCCACCTCATGATGCTTAATCGACGTAATCAACCTTAATTTGATGCAGTGTGGAAAAAAAATGCACAGAAATCAATTCTTTTCCAAGAAATATTAAATAGATTCAACATCTTTCTTCAACAGAATTGCAGACAGATGGTGCCTTTACCAAAGGAAAAAGTACTATAGCTTACTAGGGTATATTAGACTTAATAGTTACTATATACAGTAATGGACTTCTATTCATTTTACATAAAATTAAAACTTTGGGTGTAAGATTCCGATAATTATTTAATACTTATTATTTAATTATTTTAAATGAGAATAAGAAAGAAAAGTATGTCTTTTGCCCCCTTTTCCCTGTTAATGCCCTATTGGCCCCCCTGGCTAAACTTTGCTAGATCCGCCCCTGCACTGTTACCAGCCGTCAGTTGCGTGGAAAAGGATCCTGGTGTAGAACATAATATTAAATAAATTCTAACAACAGCTTATCAAGCTTAAACGTGCTGCTGTTGTTTAGCCGCTGGTTTCATCTTTCTGGTGCAAAGTGGGCCAAAAACAAACAAGAGAGACGGAGTCATGACAGAAAAGCCGATCAGCTGATCATTAATCAGTTTCATGATTGAAGTAGCAGCAGGAGAGGGAGGGAGAGAGAAAAGGCAGTGGCTCCATATATCGGTTGTTAAGCTTAACGGGAATGATTTACTAACATTCAGAGATGAACTTACACACTTGCTTTACTTCTCTCTGGGATAACTTTGTCGGAGATGAAATGCCGGGTCGGTAGCGAGGCTCCAAATGCTCAAACAGACCACCGACAAGTCTGGCGAGCCACAGTCGCTCTATCACGTGATGCATACTGCTCCTACTGCTAAGGTTATGAGCAGAGTTACGCCATGTCACAAGTTTTGTGAAGTGATTTCATGATATTTAATGGATCGGATTACATTTTTTATTTCTCTCTGATATCCGATGCAGTAATTTAGGCCAGTATCGGACTGATACCGATATGTAATATCGGATTTGTCCATCTCTAAAACTTACTGGTCGACAACAAATTTAATTGGATAAGCTGTATCATCAGGCTGTTTTGATGAAAGCCTGGTCTATTGTTGCTGACCCTGAACACCCTCTTGATTCTGACTTTGAATTAATGCCCTCGGGACAACAGCAAGGATTCCTCTAACTAACAAAAAAAGTGGTCAAAGGTGTTTTTATTCTTGTTGTATCAACGTTTTATGTGTGGGTATGTATGAATGTGTGTTGATGTGAAGTGATTTGATTGATTTGTTTATGGCTTGGCAGACCAAAGGCAATTTTCAATGAATGTAAATAATAAAGTTATTCTATTCCTAGTTTAACATGTTAACTGAGGCCTGTAGAGTCCTAGATGTAGCTCTTGGATTTTATGCAGTTTTCTCTGAGGATTTACAGTCTAACTTTAGGATGAATTTGCTGGGATTTTCACAGCAAACAGCAGTGTGTTAACACACACACACACACCTTAAAGATCAAGGCCAGTAAACCAATAACGTGTGTTATTATAGAGGTGCTCACACTTCCTGATGATCAATTAATCAAGTGCATCTGATTAGTAGCTCCCGGGTATGAGTTTCACTCTTCTTCTTTTTCCCCCTTTTCAGTCTTATTGGAAACAGTAAAAGCTTTGACAGTTTGTGTTTATGACTGTTATTTACTTCTCCAGTTACTCAAATACCATGGTGAATATTATTTGATTGTCTGGGAATGTATTTGATATCACAGCTATCATGACACTATTATTCTTGTGGTTATATAGCTCCAACATACTGGTAAATAACTTTTCTAGTGAATCTAATAACTTTGATCTGGTAGAAAGTGCACAACTTCCCTTTAACATGTTACTTTCTTCAATGCCACTAAGCCTTTAGAAAGGCTGTGAAGGCTGTTTCAGTGTAAGAAACCTTATGGGTAGACCACAACCAGTGTGAAAGTTTTGATGTTTAATCAAAGAAATCTTTGTAAAAAAGTAAACAGATGTGGAAAAAAAAACCCTCTCCATATTTAATACCTCATAAGCAAATACTGAACCAACAAATCTGGAACAAAGTTTAATCAGTTAAAATATTAAACACAGAAACATTCAGATATAGCTTGTTGTTCAGAGGCATGAAATGTAAAACATTCCCTGACAGAGGGGGTTATACTGATCAGTTTTTCCAGAAAACTGATTCTATGAAGGTACATGTAAAACATCAACTGCAAAAAAATGTACTAAACTACTTTCATTACCATGTTTCATATCAGTGCAAATTCAACATTTGGGTGAATTTTAGTGCCATAAAAAAAATTCATTCCCCTTGAGGTAATACAATGTTGCAGTCAAAAATTATGCTTTGGCTATATATCAACTTTTACCTAGAATCTAACCTAGTGTATTTAGTTTTTGATTACACGCTGTAACTCCTAATAAATTAAAAGCAATAATTTACAGCTGGGTTAGAGATTTTTTAAATTTGTTGCTAATTTAAATTAATGAATTGCTCAAATCTTACAATGCTCAGATACATATGATGTAGACATTAATTAGCACCACAATTTTACTGCAGTTATAGCAAAAGACAGTGTAAGCATAGTGTTTGTTGCATCCACAAGTGGGTTTTGCAGAGGACGATTAATAGATCATCTGTAATAATGCATCTCACAAAACCAAGAACACATGTCAAGTCCACACATATGTCACTCATTGGGTTAAATGTGCATTAAAAAAAAAAAGAAAGAAAAAAGACTTTAATTCACAGTTTCACTTGTTTTTACTTTTTAAAGATCCTATTACATTTATTATTAAACTATTCTGGTTTTCTTTGCTTTAATACAGTGAAGATTTAATAAAGTATTCCAATTAAGAGGATTTTCTTTTGCCCACTAGAACAAAGCAAAAGGCAGTCTTTGTTTACTACTATAACCTGAATAAGAGATCTGAGCACTATAAGTTTTAAGCTAGTAAAACTGAACTTCTCTTATTCCGGATTTTTGGTATGATTTAATGTCATTAACCAACCAGAAGAAGGACTTAATACAAATTGTGCAAAACCTCAAGGGGATTCTGAAATTTTATACAGCACTGTATATGACAACATGTAACTTCATACTTCCAGCAAAGACATGCTCTCACTTGGATGCCTGGATGTACAAGTCAGGCATACTGGGTTAAAATCTGTAAGACACCACTGCTAAGACGGTAAGGTGCAATATTGAAACATAGGTGGCAAAGCACAACCTAGGCGTATAACAATTTGTTGTTCTACTAAAATGCTGATTGCCAGAAGGAAAACAGCTGTTGATAATGCATAAAGCAAAATGCCCTTGAAAGTACAGCAGTGGGCCTGAGAGTCCGATTGTCTTAGCACAGGAGAAAGGTGTGATCTGGTGTTCTGTCTGATATGCCAACTGAGCTTGAGGCTAAATTGTGCAGAAATTCACAATGTATTCTGCTTGCTCAATTTATACTTTGACAACTTTTTCTGGAGAATTTGTTGGGAGAAAGAAAAATCGTAAACTTTCTATTATGAAGAACCTTAAACGTCTACAACATGGCAAATGAAGTGAAATGAGAGAGTGCACCGACACAAACGATCTTTTCAAACAATTTATAAAAAAAGAAAAAAAAAAGAAAAAAACAAACAAACAACTTGCCTAACAATAAATGTGCCTGCCAGGGCAGAACAATGCAAAATAAAAATTTGAACTTTGCAACGTACATACTTTTTTGTAGATACAAAGCTACCGGTCTTTTTTTTCCCCAGACAAAAAAAAAAAAAAAAAAAAAAAAAGGACTGTGACTCACTTGTAAATTGGCAGCAAACATTATGAAAGAACAAAAGAAAACCATAAAACACTGTATAAACGACTCAGGCCATTATGAACAAAATCTGCAAACTTATTTACATTGATCACTTAAAACAGAAACATATCGTCCATCATTGCCTGCACTATCGCACCCGTAACGGAACCAGCCACATGAAAGGAAGATTTTCTGTGCCAGCCTCTTCCAACGAAAGGTTGCAGATGGGTGGGCTCAGTGGAAACCAATTAAAAAAAGCAAACACAAGGAATACCTGTACCTCCAGTGTTTCTCACACCTAGTTATTACTTGGGCAGGTCAATGAAGTATATTTGAGGACTCTTTTTTAGCTATTATTGTTTTTTTCCCCACTCAAGAGATCACCAGCTTTTAATACTCAGATTACAAATTAATCGTAAACAGTCTAATTTTAAAAGCCAAGTTACAAGTAAACTAACTAGCCACTGCCTTCTTGTATTTCCCTTCCACCTGACTTGATAGCCAAGTCTCTGTTTTAATGTCCTTTCATATCATTCAGCTGCTTGATCCTCTCAGGCTCCATCAACACTGTCTAGGTGGGGATGAGGAAAGTAGTCACTGTTGTCCAGATATCCACTGCAAGCTAGCAAGGACCAGTGGCGGTCAAAGGCTCATTTATAAGACAATGAATTCACTGGAGAGGGTCTGCTATTTATTCGTCCGGAGATGCTTGGTCAGTTAAAATATTTACTGAGAAGCACATTGACAAAATGTGTGTAGCTTCTTTTGAACGCTGCCACCCGACACCCATCCCCAACACCATCACAAACAGAACCCAGATCTCTGGGAAACACTGAACAGGCCTTATTGGTCAAAGATTAAAAGCAGTGAGGGTGTGATCTGCCCCAACAGAATGACAGGAAAAAAATAAAATAAAATAAATAAAATACAGAAAAAATGGAAGTTTGTCAAAACAAAAAGCATAGTCATACTGAAATTTGGTTTAAAAAAAAAATACAACAAAATAAAAACAATATTAAAGCAACAATTCATTTTCCAGTATTTTTTGTTTATGCTTACATGTATAGAATAACTAGAAATCAACACGGGGCTCAAGGGACTACTGGATGAGCATGAGAACAGACCCACAAAATAGAATGTCTCTGATTTATACAGGACTGATGACACTACAGGGCCTCAAATCGCCTTTGCCTCAATTTTACGCTCAGTTGTATCAGTCAGCACCTCATGAAGGACACTGGAGACAGCAGATAAGGTATGGCTATGGCTTAACTGTTTAAGAAAAAATATAAGAAAAAAAGATGGCTGCCTGCTACAGATCTACTTAAAATAGTCATTGTGGGCTGAATAATAACATGGATGTCACACCATCTCAGTTCAAATTTAACTGGATGCTATTTTGGCTGTTTAGCAAACCTTTCCCCACTGTGCCTCATTATATTTCTATTTATTCAGACACCCCACTTTCCACTTGTTAAGGTCTTTGTGTGATGTAGGTGCTTTTTCTGACGTCGTATTCAAAACATGAAGAAATTTTGAGCACTATTTAACATGTATGAAAGCGAATTCAGCAAAATTTAGCTAATTTAAAAAAAAAATAAAAAAAAGGCAAAGAACACGGTGCGCATTAGGTTTGGAAGATGGGACAAACACATAGGCCATTAGTGTTAAATTGTCTCAGTGACTGACCGTGTGTAACTGTTTTAATCATCACAAACAAATGTGCGCTTATATGGTTGCCGCAAGAGCATTCAAGGGTTTAAACATATATTTAACAGGTAAGGCAGGATTTCTAAGTCTTCAGTAGTTACAGTGGGGGGGCTACATTCACAAGTATTGTGCGCAGTGTCTTGCACAGCATAAAACACTTTACTTTTCAAAAGATTTAATATCATCTCTTCAATGGCATTGTATGCATTATAGTGCAGCTTTGCTTACGCGACATACAGTTGATGAATATAACATCTATCACCTGTTAAAAATGGTGATTGCGACCAATTGGATAAGACTTCCCATCGTCCAATCCTAATATGTAAAAGATATAGAAATATGGTGGCACAGAATAACTTCCTGAAAGTAAAGATATGGCCCAAGATATTCCAACCCAAGTTATGGCCATGGATCAAACTGGGGGCATCAATACCACTAGATGGACCACCATGGAAATCTGAGCAGATGAACACCTCTTCCACACTCAGGCCAAACTAGGAGTTTTGTTCCAGGTTACCCATAGAGTCCTATCCGAGTTTACTCCACACTTTTAATAATTTCTAGTCACAGAGGACTTTAACATCTTTCTCTTTGACAGTCTGCATCCTAAAAAAAAAATGTCATTCCACTTTTGGTCCCATTTTCCTTTCTGTTATTCATCTTCAGCATCAAACGCCGGAGTAACGGTTTCAAGGTTTCAGATTGTTCCTTGTAGTCCAGTGTAGATGGCTGGCTTGAATGTATGATGGTGGTTTAGGCTACTCACATTCAAAGATGTTCAAGGCAGGCGCAGTCATTTGTGAAATACATAGATTGGCCTCTGAAAACCTGTCAGGATGATAGATAAATAAATAAATAAAGATGAACATGGCAGCAAACTACAATGCTGGATACAATCCTGAGAATATATCTGCTTTGACAAATCATTGTGTAGTTACCTCTTACTGAACACTTGGGGGGCCCAATGTATTCAAAACTGGTGAAGCCCACTTCAGTTGTAAGATATGACGAGAACAGGTCAGGTTTGAGACGGATGCTGTGATAATTCCTGCTAATATTATCCTGTCAGGCAAGGGGAAAAAAGGGAACATTTGTTATATTTCAGCCAATCAACCAGGCTTTTTAAATGACCGATTTATATTCAGACAGTCTTCCAGCAATACAAACGTCAACCATGTCATCTCAGGTTCTTACAGTTAGCTTCTTTCTCCTCACGTAGGACTCCCAGGGCTGTGGCTCCAGGATGAAAAGGCCCCCATGACGGAGATGTCTGTAGACCCTCTTAAAGAGCCGCTTGAGGCCACTGTCTCCCCAGTTCAGGTGGACCCATTTAGTGACGCTCAAACACAGAATCACATCATATTCTGGTCGCTGTGTCAAAAGAAGATTATCGCTCTCCAGTACATAATTAGCCTAAAGGAGAGAAGAGATGAGGTGAGAAAAATAGGCACTTCTTGTGCAATTCAATTTCATGGATCCAATACAGACTTCTTTTGAAGCTGGTCACTGCTGAGAAATTGGAAACTGATTAACCTCCCAAACTAGAATCTCAATCTCACATTTCTACCTGTTGAGTTTTGGTCAAAAATCAAAAACTGTATATAAAAGATGGAAACAGCCGTCATGACATCATTCATTTATAAAGTCCTGATCTGGGGTCTCGAACATGGCTATTTGGTCAGTGCTATCTTTGATATTTTACTTATTTATTTATTTTAGATCAGTAGCCCTGAAAAAGCAGTAGATCTGACTGAGGAAATGGGGAACAGCATTATGGGAATAGTCACTATTTTGAACACTGATAATATATATATGTATTTTCCTGTGACCCTTTGTGGGTCACAGGAAAGCCAAAATCTACAGTGTTTAGTACACTGTTAAAGCCGTAAAATAAACCCACTGCCCACATTTGAGAACATTCTTTAAAAAAATTTTAAAAAAAAATTCTCTCAAAGATGAAGCTTAGTTTTTAATATTTAAATGTTCTGATTAGTAACTAAGAAAAATTCATCAAAATCTCAGAAGGGTACTGCCCTAAAATATATTTCCATTCATTTTACCAGTGTCTGGTATAAAGCAATGCACCTCCACTGGCAGAAAGTAGTAGTAGTGCTAATCTTCAACCAGCATTAAAAGATAAAAGTAGAAGAACACATTAATAACCTGACATCCTGATAAAACTGATAAAATCTTTTTACATTGTCAGCCACATGCACCCCACTTTGATTTTAAGTGGGCTGGACTAGTAACACTCCCTCCTACTGGTAATGTAAAGACATTTAAAATCCCAGCGATATCTTAATATAAGAAAAAGAAACACACTTTTAACAACACATCTCAGTTTTTCTACACAATAAGAAGAAACATTGCTGTAGTAAATTAAAGAAATCGGTTAACATGAATAAATAAATGTAAAATTACAGAAAAAAAAAAAGTTCTGATAGCTCACTGCTCAGACTGTCCTGCAATTACAACACCTTTTCTGTCTTTTTTATTTTTTAAATTGTTAATCTACAACTTCATTATTTCGGTGTGCTATCAATATCCAATTCCACTATCACAGAAGAGGCAGTTATCAATTTCCTTTGGAAACTATGTATTTTTCCCCCTTTTCCATTCAACAAATACATATAAAAGGACTGCAGAGTGCAAAAGCAAGTGTGGCTTAAACACAGTTGATTTCAGACACTTTAATGGAACCTATAATATTTATTATATCACAATATTAAATTGCTCTTTGCCGTTTTTACCTATTAGTTCAAAATCACCAGTTACCTAAAACTCAGGGAGCCTATAGTTTGACTGACACACACACACACACACACACACACACACACACACACACACACACACACAGTAATAATGCAAGATTAACATAACAAAAAAATATATAAAATGTTTTTTCTTGATTTTTACTACTTTCAACACTGTAGAGACATACTGAGGTCATCAGATATATGAAGCAAAATATATGGAATTATGTAGCAAAGAAAAAAAAAAGATAAATTCCTCAAATTCCTCAAAGTAGCCTCCCTTTGCTTTGTTGACAGCACTGCAAACCCTTGGCCTTCTCTCAGTGAGCTTCATGATGTAGTCACGTGAAATGGTTTTCACTTCACAGGTGTGCCTTGTCAGGATTACTTGTGGAATTTCGTTCCTTATTAATGGGGTTGGGACCATCATTGGGGTTGTGCACTAGCTTCATGAAGCTCATCGAGGGAATTCCAAGAGTGTGCAAAGCAGTAATCAAAGCAAAGTGTGGCTATTTTGAAGAATCTAAGTTATTTTCACATTATTTGTTTACAACATTTAAAACATCCATACGAGTTAATTTATAGTTTTGATGGCTTCAGTTAGAATCCGCAAAGTAAAGAGTCATGAAAATAAAGCAAAACCATTAAATGAGAAGGTGTGTCCAAACTTTTAACTCGTAGTGTACATTGTTTTTGTTTGTTTTTTTTGTTTTTTTTTATTTCCTCCTAGTTAGTTCATTTACTCTGTTTTTTGGGAAGCATTTTACAACGCTGGTTTTGATAAGCGTTATGCAAATAAATTTTACAACCAATTACTGTATGGATTCATCATAATACCTTTTAATATTTAGCCACGGCTCAACTAATGTGACAATAATTAAATGCAAAGGTCAGTTTTTTTTTGTTTTGTTTTTTAGATATAATACTATATAACTGTTTTATAGTGGGGAAGAAAAACAAAAATTCACAGTGAGAGGAAGTGTGTGCACAACTTGCATCAAGTTCTCTTGAGAGGCTGGTCAGTTCTCATAATGCACACACCTTTTTGTGCATTTTTACGCATTTTATTCAGTTACCCTAACATTACGTTATAAAGCAGGACACACAGTGTCTAATTTTTTTGAATTTGCCATCTAGGCTTAAAATATGCAGCAACACAGAAATCTGAGCCATATTCCCAAAAGGGAAAAAATAAATAAAAAAATCCTCTCTTACCTTGATGAAGGACACATTTGAAGGGAACTCCCCAGGCTGCACCGTGGATGTTTGTGTTAGCGGGGGTGCAGCAATGGGACCCCTGGAGATCCGTAGGGATACAGGAAAAGAGCAGCTCTCAGAGTGATCAGCGGGGGGTGAATCACAGTCTTCTTGCTCCATTTCCTCTGTTTTGCTGCCCTGCCTCTGGGTCTCCATCTCATCCGTGTGACACGACTCATTGTCATTTCCATCATCTGCAGGGCCACTTTCTGCTTTCACTGGTTTCCCATTTTCGTCCCTGCTCTCGGCTTCGTTGTGCTCTTTTTCTGTGCCTGTGTGACTCGCGTTTCCATTTGTCTCCTCCTGTTTACTAGTCTTTTTGCCCTGCATTGCTCGCCTGGCCTCTTGGGTCTGCAGCTCAGACAGATAATGTCTTATGTTTTTACGAGCTGCATGTATCAGACCACTGTCAATGTCAAGGCCCAATATGCGGGCGGGTCTTAGCATTTTGGCGATATAGAGCGTTACATGGCCTGAGTTGCACCCCAAATCCAGTACTTCTTTACCTCTAAACCACTCGGGACGAAGCAAACGTAAACGAGGGTCTTCACTGCAGCCCGGGTTGCGGTATCCATAATACTTGTTGTAATTCCCATACTGGAACTTCTTCTGCTGTTCCTTTGTATGAGAGTGGGGCTGCTGGTGCTGGCGTATTCCAGGGCCTATTTTGGAACCAGATTTTGGTGTGTGAAAGGAATTTCTTGCTCCCCCTGCACCAAAATGCCTGTCTCCAGGTCCCGACTTGCCAATCGGAGTAGAATGGGTGACAGGGGGCTCCATTTTGCCCGAGTTGCGCCTTCGCTTGCGTCTACTTGTGTGCTGGTATGGTGCCCCTGAAGTGGAATCCTCCATGGATGCAGGTGGCATTTCCTCCTTGCAGCTTGCTGAGCTGCAATCTGTGTGCTCGTGGGACTCTGCCATGACACTAGAAACACTACCGGATTCGTTGTTGGATTCTAGTGCAGAACATGAGGCTAAGGTACCTGGAAGAGGTACAGAAGGACCTGTTTTAACTTCACTTTTTCCTGATTCTGAGAGGTTCATTTGTGTGGCTGAAATCCCAATACCGCCACCACTCCCACCTCCACCACCTCCTCCTCCCCCATGGTGCCTATTGCGGTGTCTCTTCCTTCCTCCACTCTTGAAGGGAGAAGCCAAAAAGCTGCTGTCAGCTATCCCACTGTTCAGGTTCAGTGGATCTGTGATGTCCCTGGGGATGAGTATCTCCACAGGGTCTCGACTTTTTGCTGGCAGCGGAGAGGATTTGGGAGTCTCTGCATTCAGCGCCTTGTTGACCTCCTCATCCAGCAGGCTGTTGAGATTCAGTGGGTCAAAAATGTTCCCACCCAAGAGGAAGTTGGTGGGCAGGACAGAATCACTCTCAGAGTTGGCCCTTCGTCTCCGTTTGCCAGATGAAGGATGCTTGAAACTAGAATTTGCAGTGTAGCGCCGCTTTGTTAGCTTCGTTTGTTGTTGCTGCTGCTGTTGTTGTTGTTGTTGTTGTTGTTGTTTGGAATGATGAAAGCTATTTCTGCGATTGATGCTATTCTCGTTCCCTCTGGCTCTCTGTCCAGCATTGTCTGCGAGGGTGAGCGCATCAGTTGTGCTCGTGTGTTTTGGCGAGGCAGCAGTGCCCAGAAGAGGGCAAGCAGCTGCAAAGTCAGGGGTAGCTGCAGTTCCCTCCATCATCACAGACACACCACCGTAACCTCCAGGACAATCCGTGAGCTGCAGAGATGACGTCGAGCTAGGCTGTGGACTGCCCATTTTTGCAGTATCTTCATCAACAGACATCTCTTTTGATTTTCAGAGCTGATGAAGACATAGAAAGTTTTTTGTTGTTGTTGTTTTGTTTTGGGGGGTTTTTTTGGGGGGGGGGGTAATTTTCTGAACCTGAGAAACAAAAGAGACAAAGAAGTTACAGGAAGGAAAACTCATGTGATAAACTTAACATTCTTTTAGATATGGTGAACAAAATTGCTTTAAACATGATGCCTCCTTATTGTTGTCATTACACACACACACACACACACACACACACACCTGTTAAGTAAAGTAACATAAGTTGGCTAATATTACAACAAAAATATGCTCAAGCCATCCTGGGATGTCCAGGCACTTGCACATCCAAGGGCCCCTGTATCTGTATTTATACCTATGTGGTGGGAGTTAAAAAAAATAACCCTTTACATTCCACTGTGATTTCCTAATAACGATACACAAAATTCATCTTTTTAGATACAGAGAATCTCTTGGCTCACACCCTTATCACATCTGTATTGTGGTATCTGAAGCGTGTCTACACAGGGGTTGCTGACCTGAAAAGTTTAGGAGTCCCCGTCTAGCACTGTTACCCAGTTAGCAAGCTAGCTCTTAGCTTCTCTATCGCGGGCCAAGAAGATTGAAACGTCGAGTAAACGTTACGGTCTACTCCGGCCAGAAAGCGCTACCAGACAAGCACCAAAGTACCCACCTCGATATGCTGCTGCCCGAACCCCACTAAAATCGTGAGTCACACTCACGAAAGTGATACCATTTAACAGATGGCCACGCGTAGTCAACAGGGTAGCAACCACCATCAAAATATAACAGTCTCACCTCGCAGCTCGCGACTCTCCCCGCCTCCGGCCGGACTGTCACTACCCCGCACTCTCTCCGCTTGAGCTAACGTTAGCGCAGCTAGCACAAGTGTCCCTACAGCGACACAACAGTGCTAAGCTACGCAAACAAGCGAGCAGGCACGGCACGGGTATCCTGCACTAGCCTGTAGGCAGCAAAGGCTCCGGTGGCCACGAAACTGTCTCATCGACTTCTTCAGTCAACTCCTAGTGGGCCAGTGTGAGGCAGGTTGGTGAATAAATTATTCCATTCGCTGACAGAGGCGGCATGGCGGCGCATCCGGGCTCCGAGCTGTAGCCCAAGATGACTGGGGCGGAGATCTCTGACTGGTGGCTGCGAGGCGGTGAGGAGAACTCCCCTCTACGATATTATAATGAGCCTCCTACTGCAGGTAACATTAGAGCTGATGATAGTTTTGTTATTGATTGATTAGCAGCTTAAATTTAATTCATTTATTAGACAATATATAAAAGGGAACAACTTAACAAAACAGGAGGGCTGAGGGACACTCAAAAGTGAACATAGAGCTTTCCCGCCTTGGTTTACTACTCTGACTATCAATTCAGCTAGTTGAGATTAGTTTCTTTGTTGCTACTCGATTATTCGACTAATTTGTATAGTCCTACAGTCAGACTTTAATGCATACACCCTTACAGCCCTAGTAGACTAATATTAAAGTAGGCCTTAATGGTAGCCTGAGTACTGCATAGCCTGCACATTAGGTTTTTATAAAGTTTTGTAAAAGCAGCAACCTCACAGTTTCCTTTTGTATGTCCTTTCCTAACTGATGTGCTCAATGCACTTTTGCAAATGCACGTTTCTAATTATGCATGTCAGGGGTATCACACATGAGGACTGTGGGCCAGAACCAGTCGGCAAAAGCAGCCCACTGGATGGAAAATGTGAAGGAGGACATAAACAATTTATATTTAACTGAATTTTAACAACTTCTACAGCGTCTCCTTCCCACATGGCCATTTATACTACAACAAAGTAAACAATACACAAACAATTAAAAAAAATAAGGTTCCAGTTTTTCGCTATCTACTGTAGAAATGTATGATTTTTTTTATAGTGGGTTAATAGTATAAATAAAAGACATCCAAAACATTGACAAAAATGTTTTTGTTTCAACATTTTAGTTTGTGCAATTTTTCTCTCATTTTACACACTTATTTCTTACAATTTAAGCCTTAATCAGAAAAACTGCAATGTATTGTTGAAACTGCCCTTTTTCCCCCTAGTATTAAAATATTTCAAACATTAAGTATGTAGTGGAACTTTTTATACAGTGACAGAAAGGGGAGTTTCACTGGTTCAGCTCATTTAAGATCAAAGTGTGCTCTACTTAGCACCAATATTCACTAATATTCAAGAAGCAGTAGCCAAACAATCCCTGTAGTTATAATCCCTAAACATCACACGCACACATTTGTACCCTTTTTAGTACAGAGTAGCCTATGTAGCATGAAGGTATATAGTGTGATGAGAGCTCACACTATATATGCAGGCATAATCACACCCATTGTAGGTATATGCATACCTTCATAGGGTGTGAACTTATTTTTGCTTTTAGTTTTGAAACTGGATGTCTCTGTCCCACTACAGCCTTTGCTTAACTGTCTGCATGATGTTAAAGACTGGTTAACACAGAAATTTCTCACACTAAATGAAAATACGACTGAAGTTATGGTATTTGGAACTCATGCCCCTTTGAACAAGTTAACTGATACCCTCGGTCCTCTTGCTTCTCACCTTTCTCACACTGTAAGGAATCTCGGAGTGTTTTTAGATAGCTCTTTTAAATTAGAGAAGCAAGTGTCCACAGTTGTGAAAACAAGTTTTTATCAGTTTTGTGAAATTGCCAAAGCTAAGCTTTATCTTCCTCCAAGAGACCTAGAAACACTTATTCATGCCTTCATCACCTCTAGACTGGACTACTGCAATTCTCTCTATTTGGGTCTTCAACACTCATCTCTCCATCGCTTGCAGTTCGTCCAAAATGCTGCTGTGAGTCTTTTAACAGGTTTTAGAATGTATGAACACATCACTCAAGTTTTCGCAAATTTACAAGTATCGTATTGATTCTAAGATTCGTTTACTTTTAAAGTTTTAAATAATATGGCGCCTAGTTATTTAAACAGACCCCTCAACATGTATGACCCCAAAAGAGTGCTGAGATCATCTAACTAGATGCTTTTAGCACAACCGAGGTCTAGATTGAAGCATAGAGGAGATCGGGCCTTCGCAGTAGCAGCACCCAGACTCTGGATTAATCTGCCAGAGGATATTCGTACTTCAGAGTCTGTTCAGTCTTTTAAATCGCATCTTAAAACTTTTTTACTTTGGCTTTTAATTCGAGTTCAGTTTGAGTACCATCAGGCCTGTTTTATGTTTTTAATGTTAATTTGTTGTCTTCTCATTTATCTGTATTTGATTCTAATTTATCTATATTTGTTTCCCTATTGCTTTCTCCTGTTCTTAACTGATTGTGAAGGACTTGGGTTAACTCTTTTGAATTTTGGTACTATAGCTTTGATTCTAACTTCAAAGTTAATTTAAGTGACACACTTTACAAGAAAGCCCTGTAAAGTGTGTCATAATTGCTATCTTGACCAGTGTTTAGAGCAGGGTTTTCAAACTCATTTTACATGTGAGGTCAAATATAGCGCATGTCAGTAAAAAGGACCTTTCTGTCAGTGGAAACAAGTTTAGATGCACATTTCATTCCTGCCATATTTCAGTATATGAAAAAATGAAGTGCAATTTCAACAGCACATCTCAGTTGTATTGCATGGTAGAGAAATGCCACTCTATTTAATTAAAGAAATTTGTCAACATGAACTTTTGGGGCTTAAATTGTAAAACATAAATGTGTAAAATTACAGAAAAAGTTCTGGCAGCTCATTGTCCAGACTTTTAACCCCTTAGCAGTCCAATTAGTCCCCTAAACCATCCAATGTACCGTGGGCGGTACGTCCGACTGCTAACAGGTTAATGGAGAAAGTTTTTTTTAACCCACAAATAAAAAAAACAGACATTTCTATTGTGCGTTATCCATCCATTTTCTTCCACTTATCCGGGGCCAGGTCGCGAGGGCAGCAGCCCAAGCAGAGAAGGCCAGACCTCCCTCTCCCCAGCCACCTCCTCCAGCTTATCTGGGGAATACCAAGGCGTTCCCAGGCTAGCCAAATATAATCTCTCCAGCGTGTCCTGGGTCTGCCCCGGGGCCTCCTCCTGGTGGGACATGCCCGTAACACCTCACCCAGAAGGCGCCTAGGGGGCATCCTTGTCAGATGCCCGAACCACCATAACTGGCTCCTTTTGATGTGGAGGAGCAGCGGCTCTACTCTGAGCCCCTCCCAAATGGCCGGACCTCTAACCCTATCTCTAAGGGAGAGGCCAGCCACCCTTCGGAGAAAACCCATTTCTGCCGCTTGTATTCACGATCTCGTTCTTTTGGTCACTACCCACAGCTCGTGACCATAGGTGAGGGTAGGGGCGTAGATCGACCGGTAAATTGAGAGCTTCGCTTTTACACTCAGCTTCACCACAACAGACCGGTACAGCGTCCGCATCACTGCAGCCGCTGCACCAATCCGTCTGTCGATTGTGCGTTGTGTGGAGAGGAAAAAAAGAAACAAGCTTTTTTTTGTCATTTAATAATCTATTATCTTGATGTACTAAAGACTCAGGGGGAGGACATTAATCAGTCAGACAAGCTTTACATTTTTTGAAAGTAGACTTAAAAGTCCACAATGTATGCTCTTCTTCACATTTTTCAAAGATTTCTGATTCTGGGCCTTTTGTTCAACACCCCTGGTCTACACTGAGCCTTTTATAAACCTCTGCATCAGCTACAAATTGTGTGCAGTGTACAGGCAGCTTCTTTTCACTTCCATCACCTTTGAATTATAATTATCAAAATTTCAAGACACGGAAAACTTGATGTTTGGTGGTGACAAGGAAACATTTACTGAAAATGATAGATTTTCTGTAAATGTGTAGCTTTGTCTGTCATTGAAACAGAAACATTAGAACTTAAACTTTAAATATAAATAATAATAATAATAATGGATTGCATTTATATAGCGCTTTTCTAGGCACCCAAAGTGCTTTACAATTCCACTATTCATTCACGCTCACATTCACACACTGGTGGAGGCAGCTACAGTTGTAGCCACAGCTGCCCTGGGGCAGACTGACAGAAGCAAGGCTGCCATATCGCGCCATCGGCCCCTCTGGTATAAAAAAATAAGTGTGAACTGAACTAAACCTCATTGTGTTATGGCCGCTCAGACTGTCCTGTTAGTATAAATTAAAATATGAAGTTTATACTAACTCATAGAAAACGTCAGTGTACTTTGATGTTGTATGGATGGATCAAGTAAAAGGTATGAAAATACAATTAAAAGTTCAAAAAGCACTCCTTCACTTTTTATAAACTGAGTGGGCTGGATTGGAGTCTCCTTTGTTATCATTTTTAAGCAGGGGCAAGAGGTACTGGAATTTCCTGTATCTTGTTTTTAAAACCTTTTGGAAGATAACCTACTCTCTTAAAATAACAGTTAATGGTCCAACCCTAAAGTGAATCTCTCGACATGGCATGCTTTATATCCTGTATTTTTTTTTAGCTAGTTTTTTTTTCTATGATACAAATTAACTGTAAAGTAAGCTATGGTAAAATGAAGCCAAGACAAGTTGTAAAACATGTTTAATTTGACCTGGCCTGCTCAGTAAACTCCTTTTCCTTCCCCCGGCGATAAAGACTGATATATCATATTAATACCATTATTATTGTGCTTATTAATGTGCAATATATATCTGTGTAAGTTCATTATTCAGTGCAGTTTATTTACAAAATTAGTTATAAAGTTTCTCTAGGTGCAAAAATAGAACCCACCCAGTCCATCTTCATAATTTCTTTTAACAGCACATACTTCTGTCTCCTTGGCAGCTTGTTTCTGCCACTGAAAAAAAAAGTATTTAATGACAGCAAATTCCACATTCTATTCCTTATTTTCTATATTTCCCAAGATGTTTCAGTTAGTATGTTGAAATTTTGAGATAATAAATTTTACTTATAGATTGCAGTTTATTTGTTTTATTTTTGTTTTTATTTTTTTCAGAGGTGGAAACCAGGATCCATAGTCTCCCAATCTTTTGTATTTTGTACCTTAGAATAAAAGATAAAGAGATGCTGTGCTGAGGGTGGTGCTATAGCATTTGGGATTTACTGAAGATGCTGTCCTCTAATTATCCAGAAGGGGGAGACAAAACATGATTTTGATACTATGCTGAGAGTACACCATGGACTGCAGATATTCACCTTGGTAGGATTTCTTTTATATAAGTGTTAAGTCTAATTGTTGAATGTTGCCATTGTGTTTC